AAACTTTTTTCAAACTCTACTATTATTATGTAATATTTGAAAAAATATTTGGCTTCTCACATATTTTTATCTGTGCAAAACAAAAAAAAAACATGCCATAGTGGACAGAATAATGGGTCCGTAAACAAGAAAGAATCGAAACTCCGCTTTGAGATATTTGGGACATACTAAATTAGTAATATACAAAATATTAACAAACAAATTGAATGGAATTTTTTTTTTTTTGAAGTCTTTCTTCCCCTTCATATGATTTTCGAAGATATTTCCTGTTCCGCTTTTTTTTGGTAAAATGGCGCCAAATTTTAGGTATTTTAAGTTTTACCTCATTTATTTATTTTCAATGAAAATGATTCATTTTATAACATCATATTGAAAGAAAAAAAAAGGTGTCATTAAACTTTTTTGCTGAAATTATCATAACGTTTTATATCTCAAATTAAATGAGAAACAATGGGAAAATACATTTTCCTTCATATAAGAAACAGTTTTGTAAATAAAAAAGAGGGTTGCATATTCAAAGTTAACATTGATATCAATTTGTCAAAGTTACGTAATCGTAATTTTATAGGATTTTATTTTAGGCAGAAAAAATTGTTCATAAATATTCAAAAATATTTACATTAGCAAATGTTTCCCCTTATATAACACTATCTAAGCAAGGCGTATTTAATGCTGTGTAAACAAACAGGTTCGTCAAGTGTCTTCTTAATTCATTGCTCCTTCATCATCGATTGAATTTCACAGTGACGGTGTAAGTGGTAGAAAAGATCAACACATTCAATTATGGTTAATAAAAATTAAATCAATTTAAGGGTTTAAGCCCTATGTATTGTTCAAGTAGACAAAATATTTGTTGTCAAATTTAGTACAAAAACAAAGACCTAACAATTGGTTTGAAACAAGCCAAAACAAGCCAAGTTTTTTTTGCTAATAATAACAAGGTTATTGAAATTTCTGTAACATCAGTGGCTTGTGTCGGTTTAAAAATTGATCGCAATCAGAGCATGCTCTTGAGTAGCAATGAATTTGGGAGACATTAAAACCTCATGCAGGTGAAAGCGGAATATTACTTCATAAAAAGGAAAGTTGATGATAACAAATGATTGGAAATAACTATTGTTAATTGATAAAGCATCGTCGATATATCTAAATGTTGAGTTGAAATTAATGAAATCAACTCAGGACGTTTTTTATATTACAAATACAATCTATCATCTATCTAGTATTTCTTATATATATATATATATATATATATATATATATATATATATATATATATATATATATATATATATATATATATATATTAATTTTACCGACCACCTAATTATTTATTTTAAATTTTCTACAAGGTTGTCCGGTCGGTCATTTCGGCAATCAGTGTGAAAGCTGTGAAGATAAGTGTTTGGGAGGACATTGTGACGTGTTTAATGGATCATGTACATTCGGCTGTAGTAATCCAAGGATGGAATCTCCAGACTGTAATGGTAGGCTTTACAATTTTTCGTCTAAGTGTTTTGAAAATCCATACGTTAGACAATTCAGTGTAGACAAATCGTCTACAAAGCATGAACGACTTCTGACAACAATCGACTAAATGATAGATTGTATTTGTAATTGCAACAAGGCATATATATATATATATATATATATATATATATATATATTGAAAAAAAACCACAAAAACCCTCAGTAAAGCTTTAGGCCTTTCATTCTATCTTCAGAAGCTTTACAAAGTAATTCATTTTTTTTTTATTTAGTAAAGCTTCTGAAGATACAATGAAAGGCCTGAAGCTTTACTGAAGGTTTTCGTGTTTTTTTTTCTTTAATTTAAGCATTTTATTCCGACCACTCAGACTTTTTATTGGAGAATATATATATATATATATATATATATATATATATATATATATATATATATATATATATATATATATATATATATATATATACATATTTATATTTATATGTACAATGTATATATATATAAAGAAAGAAAATTACGCAGAAATATTATCCGTGTTACTTGCAACAACCATAAAATGGCGCATAACTACTTTAAACCTGTTTTTATATGGTTTTATGAGCCTATTTAAACGCAATGTAAAGAATAATTGACATGTGGTTAATACCTTAGACTACGTTAGAGACGTTTTCATGACTTCACACATCCACACCGCAGCTAAAACGAAGTTATTTAGGAAAAAAATCTATCGACTCTAGCACAACTGTATCGTATTTATGCGTAAATGTATGATTCGATGTTATGGAAAATATAATGAAGAAAATTGGAAAATATCACTCGTTTTACCGCAGTTATCATATTAAAAGGGATTTTATATCTGTTTTATGACGCTGCAGTGCTTCTCTAGGAAATTGCCTTCGGGTATATGAACTGGAATTTATAAACGTTTTATAACGTTATGGCTGTGTGGCTCTAGAAATGTTTGTCCCTCGAAAGTATGAACCATGCAAATATCATAATTCTGTAATATTTATTCATTTACCAATGAAATATTTGATTACGATTCCAATTCTCATTTTGGATTATACTTCAGTTTGCAAAAACGCACGCAAACCTGTGGTAAATGTAGTACAGGTACAACTTGTAACAAAACCACAGGTTTCTGTTTAAATGGATGTCAGGAACACTGGAATGGAGACAAATGTAACAGTATGCATTACACGATTACTATAGTTTATTCAATAGAGAGACATCTTCATTTAATATCTATAAAAGAAAAGACATTAATTTTCATGATTTTCGGTTTGAGAATCTAGTGAAATTCGTACCATAATGCAGTATAAAAGAATAAAAAATTTAAAAAATGAAAAGGCAAAGCAAGATTAAAAACAGACAAAGCAAACCAGACACTTAAAAATCTAATACACAAAAAACGGAGCAGAAAAAAAAGATAGAGAGAGAAGAATTCTAAATAGAATAAATAAATGAATATATAACTGATGATTTTTCTCCAATTTTCATTAGTTTGTAAGGGAGGGTACTACAGTCGTGATTGCACAAAAACCTGTGGGAAATGTAGAACCGGAACATACTGTAACAATATCACTGGAGTCTGTCCTGGTGATTGCCAGGATCGGTGGGATGGCAGAATGTGTGACGGTACGTAACATTGCTGTATAGAAAAACAACATTGCTTCATTTCTACCATAAGAAATCGAGACCTTACAATTTTTTTCATATAATTTCATTCTTTTCAGTTTGTAAAAGAGGATTTTACGGTCCAGACTGCACCGGAACCTGTGGTAAATGTAAAACAGGAACATTCTGTCACAACATCACAGGGGTCTGTTCACAAGGATGTCAGGGACATTGGCATGGAAACAAATGTGACGGTATGTTTTAACTAACACGCATTTCTATTACTTTTCTAGAGAGAATCATTGGCCACTACGTTATGGTTTATCCCCTTATCTTGTAATTGTCTGAGGACTGGTGCTTATATCTTGTTGATCTGTTATAATGCATTGTGGTATTAAAAACAATTCTTCCATTTTTTTTAATGAAATCCAAGGTCATAAAATTACTTTCATGTAATTCAATTCTTTAACAGTATGTAAGCGAGGATTTTACGGTCCTGATTGCACAAAAACTTGTGGCAAATGTAAGACAGAGACATTCTGTAACAACATGACAGGGGTCTGCTCTGGGGGATGTCAGGAACACTGGTCTGGAAACAAATGTGACAGTATGTGTTAAATAACATGCCTTTCTAATACATGTACTTTAATGAAGTGTATCATGGGGCTACAAGCTGTTTGAAGAAATAAATATTGAATAACAATTCCAATTTGTATGAAAAAGATCCTGACATGAAAACTTAAAGCTCTCTAAAAAATGCAAGAAATTTATAACTTTTCTGTGTAGGTTTAGAAGGGCACTCATAATGGTTATTGCATGGTGGTATAACAAATAATTGCAGTATAATTGACGAAAAATAAAACGTAAAAAAGCTTTAATTTCATTCAATTCCATTTACAGTCTGTCAACAAGGATTCTACGGATCCGATTGCAATGGGGCCTGTGGTAAATGTAAAACGGGGGCATCCTGTAACAACATCACAGGAACGTGTTATGAAGGATGTCAGGAATACTGGGATGGAGAAAAATGTGACGGTATGTAACACGTATTTCTATCACTAAATTTTGATAAACACTGTATTGCAGAAAATTTAATTCTGCTTCTATTTCTTAACTTTCATCAGAGATCAGTAATATTTGGAGCTCATCTTACATATAAAAGAAGGTATTATAGAGTTACTTTCAATCATAATGCAAGTGTCTTTAAAAAACTTTGAATGAGGTTACAATATTGATTCAATTTTGAAATGATAACATTGTGCTGCCCCACGGTACGGAACCCGCAGCCAGAATAAACCACTAGACCTCTAAAGTGTTGACTGACTTTATTGGTAAATGATTGGTAAAAAGCTGGAACAAAAGAAAATTTGGTATAAGAATCAATTAACAAACAAAGAGCACAAGATGACTTGTAAAAAGAATACAATCCCAATTTATGGCACAAACTGGTTTCCATACATAAAAATTTTTATCAAGCCCCTAGTTTAGTAATTCCTGAATTTAAACACAATAATCTGAGCCAAACACATATTCAAGTAATACTGATAATATAAACTTTACATGTACATAAAGAGTGATACATAATAATACTGAACTATATGAATTTAAGAGACTAGATAGCACAATGAATAAGTCACGTGATCAACAGTAGTAAACAATCTAAATCAATTCCGTTTGATATCAAATTGATACACAAATAAGAAACGAAATAAGGCAAATCTCAACTGCTTCACAGTCACTAAATAAATGTCATAACTTACACTGTGGTCAGCTTTCCGAAACAAAAACATGAACACATATTGCTTCGCCGGAAGCACATGTACCCCGTTAGCACATGGGGAAAGTCAGGTATGGAAGCTGTGGCGGAACACTCCCCGCCTGATATCGCAGATATCAACTAGGTTTCAGATATCAAGAGAACAACTTGGTTCACCGGTCGAACATATTCTGTGGGTTTCCCATCACGTATGGTGCGGACTTCTATCTTTCGTACTCTTCCATCCGATCCAGGAAAGGTTCTCGTCACAAGACCCATGGGCCAGTAAATTCTGTTCTGTAACTCATCCTTCAGAAGGACGACATCACCAACACGCAGATCTTTGTTGTTTGTCTGCCATTTTCGCCGCTCCTGAAGTGTCTGGAGGTATTGTTTCTTCCACTTGGACCAAAAGACATCTGCCAGGTACTGCACTTTTTTCCATTGAACCTTATACGAGTCTTTTTCGTCAAACGAAAGCCCGGCTGGAACAAGGACGTCTGGCTTTTGTGTGAGAAGCAAAGATGGACTTAGATGATAAGGATCTTCTGGATCAGATGACACACCAACAAGCGGGCGAGAGTTAATAATCGCAGATACCTCAGCTAAGAAGGTAGTAAGGACTTCATGCGTCAATGCTTTTCCAGGCGTTCCAAGAAGCATGGCATCCAGAATTCTGCGCGTAACCCCTATCAGCCTCTCCCACACACCACCCATGTGGGAAGCGTGAGGAGGGTTGAATATCCAAACTACTCCACTGTCATACAGGAAGTCCATGACAGGATGATCCTCTACCTTAACTGTGTCTATGCAGAGATCGTCTGTAGCACCAACGAAATTCGTACCACGGTCAGATCTCACAATCTTAACGGGTCCCCTGATAGCCATAAAACGCTTAAATGCATTTATAAAGGATGATGAACTAAGCTCTTCGATGACTTCTATGTGTACTCCACGAGTAGAAAGGCATGTGAATAGAACCGCCCATCTCTTGGAGTTAGCTGCTCCGCCTTTCGTGCGTCGTGTAACAACGGACCATGGTCCGAACACATCCAAGCCAACATTCGTGAAAGGAGGTGCAGGCTCCAAACGGTCTGAGGGAAGGTCGGCCATCTTTTGGTGTTCTACTTGTCTTCGTAGTTTACGGCATGTCACACAGTGGTAGATGATGGTTGAGACCAATCTTTTCCCACCCAAGATCCAGAATCCTGCCATGCGGACTGCCCCTGCAGTGATATGCCTCCCTTGATGTTTGCACTTTTCATGATAGAATCTGACCAACAAAGTTGCAATGTAATTTCGACTTGGAATGATAACTGGATTTTTTTCACTTTGCTGAATGTTGCTTAGGTTAAGACGACCCCCAACTCTAAGGAGACCATCGGCACCAATGAAAGGATCCAAGTTCCGCAGCTGAGTATTCCTCGGAAGAGGTTCATGTCTTTCAAGACATTGAAGCTCTGTGGAAAAAGACTCCTGTTGTACACATCTGATTATCATGCTTTCAGCTTCTTTGTATGAATCGAGAGTTTGAGTCTCAGCACAAAGATGCCATCCTTTACACTTCCTCGCAGCAGTGAAACTTTGGGCGATGTGCTTCAGTTTACACATAATCTCGACAAGTCTTGTCCATTGAGAAAACTGTCTAAAACGGTGTGAACCCAAAAGCTTGGTTTTGGATTCTAGTATCTCTGTCTTTCTACATGACACAACTGCTAATGGTCTGATTTCTTTGTCTGAGTCTGGGTTTTGTAGGTCAAAGGGTTCAAATTGGGTTCTGATGTTCTCTCGAAGATGAGATGGTCCAAGTAGCCATGTGCTTGTTGAAAGTTCAGATGCTGCAATAGATCTTGTTGCTAGGTCAGCTGGGTTACTATCCGTAGGTACATAAGTCCATTGCTTTGGTGAGGTTACTTGGTGAATGCGGGCCACTCTATTGCTCACGTAGGTGTAAAACCTTCTAACTTGGTTATGTATATATCCCAGTGTGACCTTATATCTGTATACATATGGAAACTATGCAGAGGAATGTCAAGATGATCCCTGATACACTGAACAATCTCCGTTGCCAGAACTGCCGCACACAACTCCAACCTCGGAATTGTGTGACCATGCGAAGGGGCTAATTTGGCCTTTCCAAGCAAGAATCCAATTTCTTCTCTTCCATCTGTACTACCTGTTTTTATATAAGCTACGGCAGCTATTGCCTTTTCTGAGGCATCTGAATAGACATGGATGGATTTTTCGGGACAGTCTCTGATAGATGTACTGGTGTAAGTTCGTGGGATTCTGACTTGTTCTAAAGCAGCAAGCGAGTTTTTCCATTTCTGCCATCGATCCTTATGATGATCCGGAAGGGGCTCATCCCAATCAATCGACTCTTGAACCAATGTCCTTAGTAACATTTTCCCCTCGATAACCACTGGCGTTAGAAATCCAAGTGGGTCGAAAATGCTGTTAATCGTACTGAGTACTCCTCTGCGTGTGAATGGTTTCTCATCTGCTGAAACCAGGAACAAAAAAGAATCACTGTTGAGGTTCCAACATATTCCAAGGCTTCGCTGGACGGGAAGCTCTTCTGCACCAATATCGACATCCTCTAGACCCTTTGCGAGGTCTCTCGATTCAAATGAGTTCATTACAGCTCTAGAGTTGGACACTATCTTATGAAGGCGCAGATTGCCTTCATTCAGAAGTGCTTGTTGTGTCCTTTTGATCAGATCGACAGCAGATACCTCTTCACAAAGAGATGTTAAGCCATCATCAACGTAGAAGTCTCGTTCTACAAACAATTTCACATCTTCTCCGAAGGCTTTGGAACTGATCTCTGCAACTTTTCTAAGACCATAGGTGGCTACTGCCGGAGAAGGGCTGTTGCCGAATACATGGACTTTCATTTTGTATTCTGCCAAGTCCTCCTCAGGATTATTATTACGGTACCAAAGAAAGCGGAGATAGTCTCTGTGTTCCTCCTGTACTCTAAAGCAGTAAAACATTTGCTCCACATCAGTCATGACAGCAACTGTGTCTTGCCTAAATCTCATGAGAACGCCCAACAAACTGTTTGTGAGGTCTGGACCAGACATAAGAACATCGTTGAGCGATATTCCACAATGCTTTGCTGAAGAGTCGAACACTCCCCTAATCTTATCTGGCTTTCTTGGGTGATAGACCCCAAAGACTGGGAGGTACCAATATTCTTTTCCGTCCGAAACAGGGGGTGCCAATTCCGCATGTTTGTCTAAGATGTTACTCATAAACTCAAACATGTGTCTTTTCTTTATGGGGTCTCTCTCCATGCTGATGTGAAGACTTTTGGCCCGCTTAAGGGCCTGTGTTATGTTGTTTGGAAGCCTTTCTCTATCCTGTCTAAATGGCAAGGGGGCTGTCCAAAAACCATCTACATCTCGTGTGAAGTTTTGGTCCATAATTTCAAGAAATTTCCTATCCTCCGACGATAGTCCTGGCTTCTCATCTGCATCTGTCCTATCAAACACTGACTGGCCAAAGTTATCTGAAGATCTCTCCTTCAAATTAAACTCATTTTGGCATGGTTTGAGTAAAGATGCTCGTCCATTTGAGAGAATATAGGTTTTGTTTACTTGAATGGTCTTGGGCTCATGTGCTCCCCCAAGACAAGTTTCTCCAATCATAGTCCATCCCAAAGGGAGCCTTTGGGCCAATGGGCTGTTTTCTGGTCCTATTCTTTGGTCTAGCACATAGTGTGCTTCCAGGAGATCTCGTCCTATCAGTAGAAGAATTTGCGCATCTTCATCCAGTGGAGTGAAGTGTCTTGCAATATCAGCCAGGTGAGGATAGCTAGCCGCTACATCTGATGTAGGTATTTCCTCCCGATCGTTAGGGATGTGTTCGCATTCTATCACAGTCGGCAGAGCGAGCTGTTTACTTCCATCTAGTGATTCCACTATGAATCCAAAGGCCTTTCTTCCAGATGTATTGACAATTCCCATGCATGATGCTAATGTGTACTCTGTGACTCCGTCATGGACACCAAAATAGTCAAAGAACTCGGGACTAGCGAGTGAGCGATTGCTTTGATCGTCAATTATCGCATAGGTTTTTAAATCTATTTCTGGATGGTCTTTCCTGAAGACTCGTACCAATACAGTTTTCGCACATGATTTTCCTTGAAACATATCCTTACAGATCTGGGTGCATGCAGAGTTAACATTCAAAGCTGGAGCTTCAGTGGTTTTCTCCCCGCCATAATGTGTCAAGGAATATGGATTTCCACTAGAACTGCTAGCTTGCTTCTCGTCTGGATGAAGTGCCGTTGGGTGACTACCGCTGGAACACTCCTCACACGAAACTGTCTCCTTGCAGTTGCGCCTTATGTGTGTTGTTGAAGAACAACATCGGAAGCATATCCCCTTCTCCTTTAAAAACTTTCTACGCTCTTCTAAACTTTTGTTCCTGAAGGAACGGCATTTGTTAAGAGGATGGTTGGCATTGTGAAGTTGACAACGACTACTTTCATCAGCCTTCTTCAATCCAGATTTTGTTTCCTTATTTAGCCCTTTCGATGCTGGACTCATCTCAGTTTTCAGTATGGTTACCCTTGGTACCCTGCCACTGTCTCTTGTGAATTTGTTCTCTTTCTGACACATTCCAGAAGTCACTGGGTCATATTTGAAACTTGGATTGTTCTTTGTGCTACTTAACTTCCGAACAAATTCTGCGAAAAATGTAAAAGGTGGGTATAGAACACCATTCTTTTCAATGTATTTGATAGCAGTACTTGTCCATTTTTCTTGAAGATTGAGTGGGAGTTTGCCCACAATGGGTGAAACACCAGATGATGAATCATAATAAGCTAAGACACTGCGATATTTCGGATCCTCCATAACAGATTCAATCTCGGTAAGTACATCTGCTAAGTCGTATAACATTTTGTAGTTTTTTGTTATTCTTGGAAAAGAGTTAAGTTTCTCTTTTAATGCTGACTCCACCATTTCCGCAGCACCAAAGCGTTCCTCCAAACGGTTCCAGATACGATGCAATCCTCTTTCTGGGTTGGAGATGTTTGCCATTTTGAGCGTCAGGGCATGTTTCTGTGAATCAGGACCTAGCCATTTGACTAAAAGGTCTATTTCTTCATTAGGATTAACCCCAAGTTCTCTCATGACAGTCTGAAAGCTGCTTTTCCAAGAAGCAAAGGATTCAGGCCTGTCATTAAAGTTAACCAGGCGTGTAAGTAACAGGTCCTTTTTCAGCAGAAATTTTGTGAAGTCGGATGCAGGGGTATAAGGGTTAGGAACATAAGGAGGAGCTTCAGGGTTCAGCATATAGCAATGTCTGTCTGGTGGATCTTTAGTGTTTGGATTCGTACAAACTGCATTAACATGCTGGACTTCCAATTTTGAGATTTCTGATTCACGAATCTTATCTTCTGTGTCTTTTGAGAGTTGGTCAATGTATTTCTCTGTCCTCAACATAGGGTCATCCTTTGGTAGCGAATGAATGGATGAGTGTTTTGATGATGAACGAGAGTGCTCAGATTCTAGAAAATCAGCTTCTGTCTTAGTTTCTGCAGCCTTTCGCTTGAGAGTCAGGAGTTCGAGTTCAGCATCAATTTCAGCCTTCTTACGAGCAGCAGCAGCCTTCGCTGTAGCCTCCTCCAATAAGTGTTTTTCTATTAAGCGTGCTTGATCTTTTCTCAGCTCAGCTTCTTGAATAGCGAATTCCAAGCTCACCTTAGCAGCTTCAGCTTTTGCTCTTTTTCTGGCCAGTATTGAAGTGTTTTGTGAGGATAGAGAAGGAATATCATTGAAAGAATGATCAGATTGTCTCTCATATTTGTGTAAGTTTCTATCCTCTTCTTGTGCCTCAGCAATTAAACTTTGAATTCTAGACTTCGCATTTTCAATTAATAGACGATATCCAGATTGTAGGAACTCGAAACCTTTCATTTGATGGAAGCTTTCTTCTGTATTGGTTCTTCTGAGAAAATCCAAAAGCTCTTGTGTCTGAACAGCATGTTTATCACTGTAGAATTTTAGTCTATCCTGCAATTCGGTCAATGTCTCTGCGTCTTTTTTGCTTGAATCAATAGATTTAATAATGGAGTCAACCTTTGTCCATGCACCAGTTAAGCGTGGAGCTCTATCATCAAGTTGTTTTTTGTAGTGTTCTGCCCCTTTTTCTGTAAGGTTCCTGAATGTAGTCATTTTTGCAAGTCCGCTGGTTAAGTCTTTTTACTGTGCTGCCCCACGGTACGGAACCCGCAGCCAGAATAAACCACTAGACCTCTAAAGTGTTGACTGACTTTATTGGTAAATGATTGGTAAAAAGCTGGAACAAAAGAAAATTTGGTATAAGAATCAATTAACAAACAAAGAGCACAAGATGACTTGTAAAAAGAATACAATCCCAATTTATGGCACAAACTGGTTTCCATACATAAAAATTTTTATCAAGCCCCTAGTTTAGTAATTCCTGAATTTAAACACAATAATCTGAGCCAAACACATATTCAAGTAATACTGATAATATAAACTTTACATGTACATAAAGAGTGATACATAATAATACTGAACTATATCAATTTAAGAGACTAGATAGCACAATGAGTAAGTCACGTGATCAACAGTAGTAAACAATCTAAATCAATTCCGTTTGATATCAAATTGATACACAAATAAGAAACGAAATGAGGCAAATCTCAACTGCTTCACAGTCACTAAATAAATGTCATAACTTACACTGTGGTCAGCTTCCCGAAACAAAAACATGAACACATATTGCTTCGCCGGAAGCACATGTACCCCGTTAGCACATGGGGAAAGTCAGGTATGGAAGCTGTGGCGGAACAAACATATTGGAACAATCTTGAAAAGTCTTCCTCCGAAGAACTATACAGTACAACGGTGATTCAAGTGAGAGTTGTGGCTCATGGGCCTCATACATGTACATGTAAATGAAACAGCAATAAACTCACGGAGGAAAAATATATTACGTGTATAGAATACTTGCTATCGGTAAAAAAAAAAATTAAAACTGCATGAAATTTGCAAGCACTTCATTTTTAGAAATGGAATTCTTATAAAAATCAATATTTATTATCTTTTGAAAAATAAATGTACTCCTCCCTTCCCGCTTTTGCAAAAGTGGGGGATGTTAAATCGCATTCGTCCTTCATCTGTCTGTCCGTCTGTCTGTTACTCTTCCATATAATTTTTTGACTGTGTGACCTTAGTTGAAGTTTGATACATTTACATTGGTTATATTTTTTAATGTGAGAAATTAGGGGCACAGAGCATTTAGATTTCACGTGTCCGTTACTAGTGATGTGGGATTTCTGAATCTACTAGGATGTTTTACTTTACGCAGTGTTTTCAATAAGATTTTTAATAGAAGGAAATATATTTGCAACAGCAGGAAGCCAATCTCGGCGAGGGGTCTGGGGGCCAACAAAAGTTCCATCTTTTGTCACATTTCTGTCCAATCAATTATATAATTTAACCTTATAAAGCCATATAAAAACTGTTTTTTTCCTTTCCCTGATTTGTTATATGGATTTTTAACAGACTGAGGTTTTTGTTCTGAAAACTATGTATCTATTATAGACATGTACAGTTCCAAAAAATTGAAATATTCTGGAATCTTAGACTAAACTATCATAAACTTTTAGATGCTTCACTATTTTGTACAGAGCAAAATAATAAAAAATAAAATTTCTACTTTATAAAACCTTCTTCAATGGGCAAAGTTATACTGTTACCGTATTTCAAGAGATCTAACACAAATAATCAAGAAAACATTTTACATTTTCAGTTCGAGGAAATTCTGTTAGAATTCCTACCTCTCAGTCACGAATATGTGACTTTCATTCGTAAGGTCTTAAACTTATATCGGTCTAGATATAAATATTTCCTGTTGTGATTGATATTTTAATCTTGACCTAGCTTGTGAAGTGACAGTGAATGTTAAAAACATTTTCCTATTCGACATTATAGGCCATAGATACCTGACGCTTGTGCCTATGAAGCTTAAAATTCTTAATAATCTTGTGTCAACTTGGTCATATCTTTGAAGCTAAAGTAATAATCGCGATTGTTGAGTTGTGATTTTTTTTTTATGAAGTTCTAATTATTCATTAAAAATATATTCTTTAAACTTAACTCTCGGCATATCGCACGTTGTAGCATAGATTTGGACTAAATAAAACATCCATGAAAAGGAGTGCACTCAAGGGAAGTTACTCTAGATCATGTAGATAGTCGCGATAAAATCTACGGATTTCACGTACCAACCCCATCAAAATTCCAATGACAAATATCTCATAGCCGGCAAAATTTCTCGTACAGGCGGTTAATTTTGCCGGTTGCCGGCTCTTATTGAAAACACTGTTACGACCTTGACCTTAAAATCTGACCTACGCTTCAAAACATTACTTTGGAAATAACTTTTGATTGAGAAAATTTAGGACCTTCATATTTCACATGTGAAATACCTGTCACAAGACCTTTCTGCGTGTAGCATGGTTTTTGACCTCATGGTCTTCACCTTGAAATTCGACACAGCTTTCAATTAAGAACTTTAATCTTGGCCGTAACGTTTGCACAGTAACGTTTGCACAGTAACATACATGTGTATTACTTTTAAAAGAATCTAACACTTTTTTTGTATGATGGACAGTTAAGACAGTTACAATACATGTATACGAGAAATCATTGCATCCCAACCAGTAAGACCCCAAAAGCAGAGGACTACAATCCTCTGAATTTCCGTTGTTGGTTTTACATGCTTAGCTTTAGGATTTTTTTCAACTATAGTTTGTAAAGATGGTTATTTTGGACACAATTGTGAACAAGCATGTGGTAACTGTAAAAGTGGAACTCACTGTAACAACATCACAGGAATCTGTCCTGAGGGTTGTCGGAATCGCTGGAGTGGGTCAGAATGTGACGGTACGAAATGCTTTATTATTATAATGTTATCTTAACGCATTATAAAGGGTTCGTCCCATCGAAATGTTTATTTTGATTTTTTAAAAATATTTTCACTTCAAAAGATTACTAAGATCTACTAGAACAGTTTTAAATCAATAAACACAATCTTCAATAGCATTACTAAAATCATTTTTATTTGATTATATCACCAGTGGTATAAATAATCCAATATGTGTCTTATGCAGAATAATCTAGCCAATGTTATAATTAATTAGTGCTTCCATTCATTTATCTATATTAGTATATGGTCATGAATTGCAAATCTAATAACTGCATTTTTCAACTCATTTTTTTAACTCAATCTCTATCACCTACAGTGTGCAAGGAAGGATTCTATGGAACCAGCTGTGAAAACGCCTGTGGGAGTTGTGCAAATGGAACATCCTGCAATAACATTACAGGAATATGTACAGATGGATGTCAAGGTCATTGGAATGGAACGAAGTGTGACGGTTAGTTAAAAAACTTCCCTTTCTTTCAGTATAATCTTGTAATGTTCAATGTTTCCTAACAATCTTCTTACAATAATTAACTATAGTCATTACTTCGCCTTGGTCAATATTGGTATTTTTCTGGTGAATATCAAACAATATTCATCTCCGAAAGAGTCCATAATACTAGTAGTTTAATTATGTAGTTCGAGTCTGAATAATTAAAACATCAAGTGCTGAATGACAGCAACACTTCCATTAACGAACCTCTGTCGCAAAAAGTTTTTAAAATGCCCTTATTATTAGTTATTATATAACCTCTGTGTTTTCTTGTCATAGTTTGTAACATCATTTTACGTCGAAATGCAGGGATCGTAATCCGATGACAGGCTTGCCTTACTTTTTTCCTACTGGCTTCAACCGTTGCGACCATTTCGTACATCGTTATTTGGGGTGTCGTTTGTTACCTCAAAATTATTATTTATTATGTAGTTTGTTTATAGTTCTTCTATAATCTGTTCAAATGGAAACAATCAATAACACAACATATTCACTGGATCTGAAATCGTATTAACCGGAGGGTCAGTATGCATGCAGCGGCAGTTGCTATTTCACAAACGACACTTCATTTCTTCAGTGTCTTTTAATCCGGACTATATTAAAAAAACAATTATGGACTTTTAGTGGTAAATATGGTTTGATATCCGTCAGAAAAATATAAAACAACATTCAACAACAAAAAAAGTCCAGAATTGTATAAAATAGTCAATACTTTGACTTACTGTAAAACTTTAATCTAAAATTTTTATTTTTACATTTATAGCCTGATTATATCTTAAGTTCCATATCAGTGATGCGATTTTTTAAAATTATAATTGAATATAAAATTATATTTCTTTTCATTATTAAAAAAATCGCATGCTAGACTTAGAGAAATAAAATCAATTTAACAATCATTATAAAAATCATTTGAATTTTTGTAATAAAAAGTTAATTCTATTGAAACCTAGTTTACCATAGATAACTATAGTGATTTTGATAGGGCTATTTTCTTTCATTCTGTGAGAATTTTAATGATAATGCTGTATTTTATAGTAATCAATTATTCTAAGGTGTAGATTTTTCAACAAAAATGTAAATAATTCTATTGCAGTTTGTGAAAATGGATTTTTTGGACCAAGTTGCAATCAAGAGTGTAGATACTGTAATAAAAATACATGCAACAAAGCCAACGGGCACTGTTTGCTTGGATGTCAGGGAAAAAGGAAAGGTGTCAGATGTGATTGTATGTATTAAGAGTGTCGAGTACCTCAATTAATTATTTTTTTCTTAAATAAATAGTTGTTATTTAAACTGCTTTAGATTTTAATAGTTAAGAAACGAAAGTTTCATTTTATTGTCTAAAGAGTGAATTCATTTTTTTAACATGACACTATTTGAAATAATTATAAATGCCCTTTATCTCCAATAAATAACTATTACTTCCTTCAAGAAAAAACAAATTGATACATGAAAAGCATTTCATTTCCTACTTTTATCTAATGCTTCCTTCATTTCAGCTTTGTCTTTACCCTTAGAAGGAAGCTCTGGTGGAGTTATTGGAGGGGTCATAACAACATTAATCATACTTATAGTCTTAGTTATTTGTAAGGTACCTGGTATACTGTTTTATAATGTGTTTCGATTATTTTTAAAACTAAAACTGTATGTGGTTTTTTTTTTAGAAAAAATGAAACCTGCATAAAAGTCTTCCTGTATGTTAGTCTTTTTTTTCAGAAGTGCAACAGATTTTAGATTTTAATTTTAATTTAACCCTTAAAAATGAAGGTATCTGTGATAAATGTGGGATGTTATCTAGTTGCATTGCGGTAACATTTTAAATCAAAATGATTTCATATGAGCATTCTTCCAGAAAAAGCTAAACAGAAAATCTCAATTATAGACGCAAATTCTTTTAAGCTTAAAGACGTATATTACAGGTCCAAAAGATGTTTTCGTCTTATCGTATAACATGTATCTATTAACATAATGCCAAATTCACTTTTCCTAAAGTCGATGAATGTTACACTTTATCTTTTAGTCAAATGCTGACTGACGTTTTTCATACTAATTGTTAGGCCATTATTTAAACACTGGATTTTAACTGACGGATATATCCGTAATTTCCCGATCATGACAAGGAGCACACGGCGGGTGTGACCGGTCGGCAGGGGATGCTTACTCCTCCATGGCACCTGATCCAACGTCTGATGTTTTGGAGGTCCGTGTTTGCTCTGCTCCTATTTTGTATTGTTTAATGGACTTTTGAGCTTGAATACTGTTCGTTATCTCCAGATATTTCATATAACAACTTTAATTGATAATAAGTGTTGAATAACTACATACGACAAATAGCGTTCCAAAAATGAGCGCAGAATCATTTAACTGATCCTGCACTGCGTTTGTATTATTTTAAAGCTTATTTTTGAGTTAAATTTTCTTGTTCGTGACAGAAATACTTCTTGTACTTTGCTTTTGGAGTTTTTTTCCTGTTTTTATTCTGCGTTTTCACTTTTTCCCCCGTCTATTTTGTTGTTTTTTTTTTTTGTTCAACTGAGCCAAGGCTCAAGTGAGCTTTCCTGATCGAAATTTGTCCGTTGTCTGCCGTCGTCGTTTTCATTGTAAACTTTTCTCAATTTATTCTTTTTCACCAGATCAGCTGGGCCAATTTCAACCAAACTTGGTACAAAGTATTCTTGGGTGACAAGGATTCAATTTTTTTTTTTAAATGAAGGGCCACGCCCTCTTCCAAGGGAAGATAAATACAAATTAGTGAAAAATTAATGCCATCTTTAAAAAAATCTTCTCATGAACCACTAGGCCAACTTATATTGAATCATCCTAAGGTAGTGTAGATTCAAGTTTGTTCAAATCATGACCCCTGGTGGTAGGTTGGGGCCACAATGAACGAGCGAAGTTTTACATGGGAATATATAGGAAAAAAATTTTAAAAGTCTTCTCAAGAACAGCAAAGCCATGATTTGTCATATTTATATGGAAGCATCCTCAGGTAGTGTAGATTCAGATTTGTTCAAATCATGACCCCCGAGATAGGATGGGGCCACATTGGACAAGCAAAGTTTTACATAGGAATACATAGGAATTTTTTTTATTAAAATTTTCTTCTAAAGAACATCAAAGACATCATTGATCTTATTTATATGGAAGGATCCTCAGGTAGTGTAGATTCAGATTTGTTCAAATCCTGACCCCCAGAGGTAGGATGGGGCCACGATGGACTAACATTATTTTTTTACGTAGGAATAAATAGGGATTTTTTTTTTTTGAAAACAGCAAACCCATGATTGGTTATAGTTATATGGAAGCATCCTCGGGTAGTGTGGATTCAGATTTGTTCAAATCATAACCCACGGGGTTAGGGTGGAGCCACAATGGACTAGCAAAGTTATTCATAGGAATATACAAGAAAATCTTTTAAAATCTTGTTCCTAAGAACAACAAAGCTATGACAGTCATATTTATATTGTAGCATCCTCAGGTAGGATAGATTCTAGTTTATTCAAATTATGACACCCAGGGGTAGGGTGGGGTCACAATGGACGATCAAATTTTTACATAGGACTATAAAGGATAAGTCTTTAATAGCGATTCTCTGTAACCACTTGAACTTCTTTGCCACGCATGGTCACCGATTTTGATGAAACTTTGCCCATTATTACAACTTGACACCAGAAACATATATCAAATAAAATTCCGTTGCTATGGGTCTTGGTTGCCATGGTAACAGCCAGAAAAGTTGAAAAAATTAATAAAGACTAAGAAAAACAAACAAACCATTCTCCCCAAAACATGACACCTTGTTTCCACTTATGCTATAAAGAAACTATTTAGAATTTATCTCTTAGTAAGTGGTAACCATGGGTACATTTGGAATACGTTTTAGATGCTGAAAAATGCTGAAAAACGCTCAATATTCACAAATGAAAGATGTTACATGATCAAACTCAATCAACAACGTAAGAAAAACAATGAAAAATATTTGACCTCATGTAATTAGGTATTGGCAATATTATTCTAAAAATAATTTTCATGGTTGCCATGGTAACACAGTGTCACCATGCAAAATCTGTTGCTATGATTGGGTTAATGCTACTATCGTGAGGAAAAACAATAAAATTCATGACTGGCACATATGCATCCTTAGGACCTTGCAACACCGACAACATAAGAAAAATTGAGATTAATTGTTGCTTTGCAGTGTAACCATGGAAACAACGTACTAGTTGTTTAAAGTGATATTTTTTTGCTGCTTTAGGAATTTACTAACCTTTTAATCAAGAAAAATATTATTTGAATCACCCTGAATAGTATTTATCTCGTAGAACTAAAGTTGAATATCATATATTGATAAAGGTTGTTGAAAAATACAACACTGTTGCTATGGTTACCAAGAAGAGAAAATGTTCGATTTTGTTAATTTTTTGTCAATATTAGACCCTATGTGCCAGCTTTTTGCATCCAGTTAGAGATTGGGTGATAGTCAAAATTTAAAGTCAGGTTAGTTGTTCACATATATCAATCATTAAAGTTTTGGGAATCTACATACAACGGTACGTATCCAAGGAAACAGAGTATTTTTCAGATTTTTATGCATATTTTTTTGCCTTATTTCCATAGCAACGCACTATTTAAAGAATTGAAATTGAATTTTTTGAAATGTGAAAATTAAGGTCACACCAAGGCCTTTAAAAATTGATCATCAGTTATATAGAAATATGCTTTTTAAAAAGATAGGATAAGATTAAAACACTAGGAAAGTAAATTTAAAATCCCTTCGTGGTATTAAAACCATGGCAACCATTGCCAACCTATAAGAAATATCATATTTTGTCCTTGGTATATGTTACAAGGATCTCTTCTCAATTATTTGCTTGCATTTCAACCTATAATAGTTTTTATTCTTAAGTGTATGACATTATAAATTTAAATGAACAAAATTATTACTTTTGAATACTTTGTTTCCATAGTAACGTATGTTATAGATGATTTACCAAACATGTTTATCATGCATTTAAGACACCAGGCCTTCAACTTTCAGAAAAAAAGTCATTGCCACTTGTTTGCTTTGCTGCAAACGTTAACTGTGGGACTCTGAAGATGTTGAAAAATGCCATTTTTCAAACTTTAGGACATGTTGCTATGGTAACCGTGACACGTAGCAACCAATTTTTGCACGATTTAAGTTAACGGTATCAAAGACTTTTATCATAGAGAGTTTGGAGAAATTCTGAGACTATGCGTGCCACAGCTCCTATATAAAAGTTCAAGTCATTACAGAGAATGGCTCTTAAGAATCTTGTTCTCGAGAATAACAAAGCTATGATTGGTCATACATATTTATATGGAAGCATCCTCGGGAAGTGTAAATTTAGTTTTGTTCAAATCATTACCCCTAGGGGTAGGATGGGGCCACACTGGACAAGTTTTACATAGGAGTGTATAGGAAAAATCTTATTCTCATGAACAGCAAGACCATGGTTGGTCATTATCTATTTGGAAGCATCCTCAGATAATGTAGATTCCAGTTTGTTCAAAACATGTCCCTCAGGGGGTAGAGTGGAGCCATAAGGGACGAGCAAAATTATACATAGGAATACATAGGAATTTTTTTTTCAAATCTTCTCAAGAATAGCAAAGCCATGATTAGTTATATGGAAGCATTCTCGAGTAGTGTAGATTCAGATTTGTTTAAATCATGACCCTTATTGATAGGGTGGGATCACAATGAAAGTCCAAACTTATAGGGAAAAAAGTCGCAGTTCGGCAGACATTTTTAATCATCCTTAGTGTAGATTAAAGTTTGTTCAAATCACAACCCCCTTATGCATTTATTCTTTTTAATGCTGAACTACATTGTAATTTCTGCCTTTTTCCTAGCCACAGTGCTCAGTTGAGCGATATGGTCCATGGGCCTCTTGTTTTAATTTTGTTTATGTTTTTGTATCTATTATAAGTACATTTCTTTTGCAACGAATTCATGTCTCACTCTTAACCTATTTTATTTGAAGACGAAGGTTTAATATGAGCAAGGATTCAAAAGAAAGAGGAGTCTCATCTGTAAATTCCGATAAAGAATGCAAAATCACATACAGGAAACAATCAAATATGAGCAGTAAGTAATCGTAGTAAATCTAAAAGCTAACATTAAAACAAATACAAAAACAAATACAAAGATATGTTGGTAAAGGTTTTCCATGTGAGAACAAATCTTACATTAATTGACGAATATTGATATTAAAAGGCAATTCGTCCCAAGCGTCTCTTCAATTACAATTGCCAAGTCTGGACTCCGCCGATGATTCTCAATACTACAACACAAGTCAAATAAGCACGGATATAAGAATTGATGAACTACAGAATGTTATTGCATCAAAAAGCGCGGGAAAAGAGATCCTGTTTTTCTTGGAATATCAGGTATTTTCTAGGCAGTTAGAAATAGCTAGGGTTCAATGTAATATACTAAGATAATTTCTTATACATGAATAAAGTATGTCGGATTTGTTGAATGTGGATCTGTTTGATGTATGAAAGTTGGAGGGAATATAGTTAATACCTATTTAAATACCAAATGAAAACTAATGAAAACGTGTGAAGTTGACAAACGCATGGTTTATGGCGCATATAGCAAGTTGTATGCGCGTAGGAAACTTTTTAAAAAAGTATTTTTTGAATATAATCATTTTTGTTTCCTGTCTTAAACCCATGGAAGCGTGTAGCATTCCTATTGTGTTTATGTATGTTTAGTTATCTGAGCCTTGTGTAATCGTAAAAACAATACTTCAGACGAAGGTTTGATTTATGAGATCTTACATTACAATACGTAGTTTATGGTAATTTCACATCACTAACATTACAAACAAAATCAACTTGATACTTTGGACAAAATTTATTTTTGTTCAAAGGATGTTGGACAAAGTTTATTTTTGTTCAAAGGATATGGAAACTGTATGTTAGAACTACAAAGCAATGTCATCGTCATGATACTGGAAAAAAATCCTTTTATTGTGTGATTTGTCATAGCATTGATATAGTGTCATGATTAAATGATTATTTTCATAGTAATCTTTGAACAGGAAAAAAATATACCACATATTAGTCAAAATAACCCGATAATATTAATCATGCTCATATCAGTGGGTTTTGTATTTGTTTGTTTGTTTAATGTCCCTTCGAAAATATTTCACTCAAAACAGAACAAAACTGGACGCCCGATAAATTCCTTTGTTAAAGTCGTTCGGTGGAAGGCAGGACTTCCACGGAGGATACTACTTTGAAGAAAAGACAGACATGGAGAAATTTAATATCACGAACAAGACAAACTCTACCTCTTCTAAATTGCAAACTGGTAGAGAAAATGTGGCACAATTGAGAGGCAGAAAGAATCAAACTTTATTAGCTTTGAAATTGAAGTTATATTTTAGAGCATAAAAGGACATAATGTACACTTTTTTCCACGATGAACTAGGTTTGATTCCTTTTCGGTTTATATAATCACATGCGTAGTATTTAGTGCTTTTTCTGAATACAAAGTCATTAGAATCTCTCTCCCTCTCTCTCGTTATTAATCAGTAGTTTTAAGTTATTTATATTTTAGGTTTTTTTATTATTGACATCTTTATTGATCTGCAATTGACGAATGAATGATTGTATAGATTACCTGTACATGTAATATGGGATACATTTAAATGAAATTCTTTTGACGTAATGTATAGGAATGGGTATTGCCAACAATTTTGTATCGCGATATATCACGATTCCCTCCCCCCCCCCCCACACACACACACATACACACAAACAAATATCATCATAATGTGATATTTTTACGAGCAATTTTTACAGTGATTTTAAATGAACATTCATATTTTTGCCGCAAAAGTATGCTAGAAAAACATAACTTCACTTTTTTTTTCATTTTTTATTCACATAATATCAAGCATTTTGGATGCTAGGATGCCGTTCTTTTACTGTTTTCAACATTTTTGACACTTTCTGTAAATGTAATTTGAAAGATTGAACAAATAAATGAATAATTTCTGGAACTTTTAACTAGGTATCTAAATACCGATATTTTAGTCTCCGTATCATGATACGTAACTATCACACAATTAAGAATTACGATATACCGGTATACCGAAAAATCGCACATCATTAGTAATGTAAAAATCATTTAACATATATCTAGAAGTACATCGCACTGGTGCACGGAACATGAAAAGGGCTGCATTGTCACAGGTGCTGGACGTTGACAAAAATACGCAACAGTCAAATGACGTCATATTTAAAACCGTTTGATAATAAATCGCTAGCGTCCAACAAAGTATGTAAATTCCACATAATAAAGTGGATACATACAGATTATCTATTTCATTGATTTAATTACTCTTCATTTTTCTTTTATTTCATTTTTTGTAAAATTCCTTTATTTATTTTTGTGTGAATACGCTCTTTGAAAAATCTTAAGCAATATGTTTAAGAACTTAAGATATTAAAGACCATGCTTAACTTAAGCATAAACTGAGCAAGCATATACTTAAGAGTTGAAAAGTTTTATGCAACATTCTACGCAAGATGCTAAGTAAAATTCCAATCTGCTAAGCAGGAAAAAAGTACTTAAGTATATGCTTAACTTAACTTAAGAATTTTTATGCATACAAACCTTGATCTCCAAAAACTACATAGATATTGTCAGTCAGAAACTCAAGCATCTTTTTAATATCAACTTCAAAATATGATCAGAGTGTTTTTAATCAAATAATTTGCATATTACCGATGACAAGACATCGAAATCTTCCAGTTCCATTTTTATTGAAAAAAAGCAGCTGTCCATGATATAAAAAAAATCCGGATTTTTTGTTTATCCTAGGGAATAATTGTATCAAGTATTGGAAAGTCGTACGTTTTGGTACTATTAATTTAAGTAAAATTTTGTGATTGCAAATTTTCTAAAAGTTCCTTGAGTTTCTAAGTATCGTATCTCCTTCACTGCTGTTAACATTTTGGTGAAAAGTAAAGGAAGGGGCTTTGTAAATCATTCACTGTCACCCACTATGTATTTATTAAGGATAAGAAATAAGTCCATTTGAATATGAAAATATTTCTTCAAGGTTTTAATATGAGTTGAAAACCGATTATCAGTAGTTTATTTATATTTAAATGTTTTATTGTTTTCCAGAGATTACCTGCTAAAGACGAAAACAAATGCAATGCTGCCAAGAAGAAAGAAAATGTCACCAAGAACAGATTTAAAACGACATTCCCCTGTAAAAATTCTCCCTCTTTATAATGTCTTATTTTCATTTCCATTTGATTCCTCATTGAATTTTTAAATAGGAATAGTAAAGAGGGCTCCCAGAGACGATTTGTAAATGAAGTTTAACCCTCCACCCCCATTGTTCACGTTTCCTAAATTAGAAAAATAAAACAACCGTAAGTAAATATTACGTGAAATATAAAGATAATGAACAGTATTCAATCTCGAAAGTCCAATGATTTGGAGCAAAGCAAACATGGACCTCAGAATTTAGAGGTTTGATCAGGTGCTATGGAGGAGTGAGCATCCCTGACGACCGGTCACACCCGCCGTGTGCTCCTTGTCATGATCGAAAAAAAAGGGAAAAATCCGTAGACAGTTCAATGTAAAAGTAATGGCCTAACATTAAGTATGAAAAACACCAGTCAGCATGCTCTTGCGTATCGAATCAACTGAGGTACATAAACCCCATATGCAGGCGATAAGGGTATATTGCTAATAAGTAAGGGAAGCTGACGATTGAAAAGTTGAAGTGATCACCTTTTTCATAAAGCTTTGCTGTTAGGTTACCATTAACGTCTTTTTCTAGTTAAATATCTTAATATGAAACAGATGTGTCAGAATCTGTGAGAAATATGAAGGAAAGTAGCTATTGTTAATTGATAATACGTCGTCGATAGAACGAAATGTCGAGTTGAAGGCCACAGCCAGTGGGGTTTTTTTCTCATGAAGTTTTTGAATAAATTCTGCTTCATATGAATACAAAAATAGGTCTGCTAATTCTGCTTCATATGAATACGAAAATAGGTCTGCTTATAACGGGCGCAATTGGTACCCATGGGAATTCCAACAGATTGTTGGAAGACTTGATCTCCAAAAACTACATAGACATTGTCAATCAGAAACTCAAGCATCATTTTAATATCAACTTCAGAGTACTTGTGAGTACAATCAGAATGCTTTTTAACAAAATAATTTTGTAAATGACCAATGACAAGGTTAAGTATATTCACGAGTTCCATTTTTTATTGAAAAATCAACTGTCTATGATGTCAAAAAACCTGGACTTCAATTTATCGTGGGGGAATGTTGTATAAGGTGTTGAAAAATCGTTGGTTTTGATGTTATTGATTTTAGTAAAATTTTGTGATTTCAAGTTTCTAAAAGTTCTTTGGAGTTTTAAGTATCCACATCTGATTTACACAACATTTCGAATATACTGTTGTACAGTACTCCTGAAGTTCCTCCTTCATTAAAGTAAATTGAATATCCAATAGTTCCTTTTTTCGAAGAAAAGAAATAAACGGTATTTGTGGTTTATATAGCATGGTTTAATGTCTTAATTTTTCAAAATTATAAATACTTAAATTTCCTTTATATTATTTTTTTCTTTTGAACAAACGGACCTGCTGGTTCTTAAAAAAAATACGCAAGTGATTTAAGGCTAGGTATAGGCGTTTCTATGCAAATGAGGTAATAAAAATGCTAAAAGAGGTATATTTATTATACAGAGAAAGCTTAAATTCATTTTCTTATACATACTTAGTTCCCAAGGCATGTTATCACTAATGCACATTATGACGTCATATTATGACGTCATTGCTCTTTAGTACTGAAAGAAATAAAACATCTCAACAAACGGCTTTGGCGCAAGGGCATACCCTATTTAATTTTAAGGAAATAATGTATTATTCTACGAAGAATGTTCTGAAGATTAATAAAAGTGCTGCACAAATCCTATGCACTTTCTCGTTTGATAAAAATTACCCCATTTCAACTCGAAACGTTACAAATAGTAACTAAACAGTTACTCTGTTGACAATTGTGCAGCAATATCACAAATCCTTGGAATATTCTGCTTCTAATTAGATCCTATTTCTGTAAAAAATAAATAGGGTATGCCCTTGCGCCGAAGCTTTTTTGTTGATGTTCTTTATAACTTTGTGTAGTAGAGAGCAATGACGTCATAATATGACGTCATAATGTGCACTGGCTATCACTTGTCGCAGGTACCAACCTTACATTAGAAACAAAGTTTTAACCTTTTCTGTATAAAAAGTAGAGCCCTTATGCGTTAAAATTAGTACATTTTCATAGAAACGTCTATACTTAGCCTTAACTCACTTGCGTATCCAACAGTTTGTGCTAATGCCGGGAATATGATTTATTTTCTTTACTTTTACATTTTCGTCTATGTATTTTCCTGTCTTTTCTTATTTAGATAATCATTTCAAGATAATTTTACCGTTCACGGTAGCTCAGTCGGTAGAGCGCTCGCTTCGTGATCGGGAGGTCGTGAGTTCGAATCTCGGCCGCGACAGACCTAAGTCGATAAAAAAAATAGGTAGCAACTGTTCCTTCGCCATGCGCTCGGCACTTTGAAGTGAAAGTTGCGGGTCTTTCGGATGAGACCTTAAAAACCGAGGCCCCGTGTCACGGCAGGCGTTGGCACGATAAAGATCCCTCACTGCTCAATGGCCCTGAGTGCCGAATAAAGGTCAAAATTTGAAGCCCTTCACCGGTATATGGTGACGTCTCTGTATGAGTGAAAAATTCTCGAATGGGACGTAAAACAATATACAATCAACCAATCAAGATAATTTAAAATGTAACTATTTCTTAAATAACGAGAGCACATACAATGTATTAGTAAAAGAATCTAACCAATGCTGTAAACTTGCTATAAAAGTATTATTTTAATGTTTTAGATGATCATTCGAGAGTAATTCTTGAAGAGAAATGGGATGGACATGATAATGATTACATCAACGCAAGTTATATAAAGGTAAGTTTTTCTAATTTCTCTTTAGGCAAATATATAGTATTTTAAATGCAGGTAAGAAAATGACTATATTTTACACTCATCTTTTCAGGATTGTGATGGGGAAAGGCGCTTCATAGCAGCACAAGGTGATTAACTTTACCCTTATCATGATAATTATTTGCGGTTCTCACTGCCATTCCATCCAGTTCATATAAGTAATTAATAATCAGTAAAAAAGATAGCAATTCTTATAACATTGCAGTCTAAAAGTTTACCTGTGGCAGTCCGATATTAGAGAGCAGTCTGCAGTTGATATTAAGGACATACGCAACGTACCTTACCTACTGATAATTTTTCAAGATATTCTTAATATAAGATTGTAGCGCCATAAAATGTTCGTAGACAAAAAATCAGCAGGCATTACCAGGGGTTTTGACAAGATATCATTGATGAAAATTCTTGTATAATTCAGAGAGAAATATACAAAAATTACTAAACATATATTCTAGACGTTTTGTCTATCCAAACGTGTTTTAGAGGAAGTGTACAGCACCATATATAGACATTAAAATGTAGCACATAGTTCCTTTAAGTATTGGAACTCTTTAACTCCAGGGAAAAAGACAATAAAGTTCAAACTTCATTGCGTATGTCCTTAAGTGAAATATCAGACTGTCTCAGTACTGATATCCTTCAAAATCGGACCAAAAAATCTTATTTTTAAGCAAATAGCTAAATGTTTGATCTTATGTGTACATAGTTATTTTAGAATAGAATTATTATTTACTGATCAAACAGAATTAGAAAATTAAAAAAATGACCTCCAATGAAAAGAATATACTGAAGTAGGATGGGATAAATTAATTCAAACGCGAGCCTCTTGTACGAGGGTTGTTCGGAAAGTTCGTGGACTTCTGTCATATCTTGTTTTTTATTTAACGTCATATTATATCCAAATTTGTTAGAAATAATTTAACAATAAATTTAAATGATTTGTATTAAAATCTTTTAAATATCTTGATTTATTTCAAACTTATTAAGAATTAAAAACTGCGAAAATTGGTTCGCTGAGCAAGTCAAAATTTATTAATTTAAAAACAATATACACTAATTGATGCCTGTAGTCATTGCCTCTGTAAAATGGCTCAAACCAAAAAAATTCTAGACGATCAAATTAAGAACTGCATGTTACATCGTTTCATATTCCAAATTATGAATTATAAGTTTCCTTCATGGAAAAGAAATCAATTTTTGAAGATTGGTAGTTCTCAATGAAAAAAGCAAAAAGATGACGGCGTAAATCATCACGGAGCAGCAGTTTACGATACAATTTACTGTTGTACTCAGGAAAACGTCAGAATAAAATCTAAAAATGTAGGAAACATGAAGTATCTCAAAATGAGGCATGCATATGTGTTTTAGTGCAAATGCCCCAGGCGGTATTTGAATGCCATGGACTTTGTATCAGACGAGAACAATCTGTGGGAAAATGGATTTTCTGTAAAAAAAAAAAAATCTAACCAATAACGTTCATTTAGTAAGGTCTTGGAAAGAGAAAGCCGCTTTACGATTGCCGATCTTGTGAAAACATAGTTAAGTGGTAAAAAAAGAAATCATTGACAAACAAAACTATGCTACTGGAAAATTTAAAAAAAAAATGAATTTCAATTGATAGAGACACGTTTTTAATGAGCAGATATTGGACAGACTGTGCTGTGTAAAATGTATAGGAAGAATATTTTGAGAACCTCATGACGCTATGTTTTTGGGGTTATATAATGTTGTTAAGTGTGCTCCGTGGTTATCAAACACGTTGATTTTAAAATGAAATATACTGATTTCTATTAATCGAATGATATAAAACTTCACACACCAACAAAATAAATATGTTTACATATAATAAAGTGCTTATTTTAAATTTCATGAAAGTAATGTAACGAAGATGGACATTGTCTGCGGACTTTTAGAACAACCCTGGTATACTAAATAACATAAAATAAACTTGCTATACTTTAAAGGATGCCTTCATTTACTGTTAAAAATTCAGATATTCTGTTATTCTGTTTTTTTATAAAGCAGGGTTGGCTGGTAAATCTGTCATTTTAATTACAGAAGAGTTCTACTTCTGGTTACATCCAATTCACATGCAATCCCTCATAAATTAATTCTCAATATCGTTATTTAGAAATACATGTACCTTTAGCATCTGCATTATCTTCTGTGATTGTTCAGTTCAAATCGAATTTCAAATCTTCATTTTCCTTTCCGTTCCCTAAAACATCATTCACTAAACTGTCTGTATCATAATCCAATTCATATTCATACGGATATTTCAGCCCTCTCCATTCCAATCATTTATATTACTTCAAATACCCATAACTGTGTAGCTGATTAAAAAATACAAAGTACTTTTCATTCAAGCATGTATTCTTGAAAGAATAGCTTCAATGGTCAATAACACTTTTGTCTTTTGTTGGTATATCGTACTGTCTTAGGTAAATCAATGCAATTTTGTATGAAAAAAAATATCAGACAGTTCTCGGCCCTAACGGGCCTAACACTATCTGATATTTTTCCATGCAGAAGTGTATTCGGCATATATCCATTACTTATCACCTGTTTAACCTTTTTTGATATACTGGGCGAAAGCTGTGTGACTCTTATTCTTTCAATGTTTACTATAAGAAAAGGTTGTACTACTGCAAAAAAACAAAATATGCATTGTGCTTTATTCGCCCTTTCAAACATTACTATAGTAAACTATAATTTACTATTAATTAACTATAATGTCAAAGTACTCATACTGCTTGAAACAACACCTTTACAAAACTTTACTTGCAAAGTAAATCTCATTAAAGGTGCTACAAAAAGCAAAGTCATCTTTGTATTAACTTTACAAAAAGTAAAGGTGAAAAGGTAACCTTTACTTACATGAAAAGGTAATTTAATTTAACCTTTCACCTTTAATGCTGCATTCAAGTTTATATATATATATATATATATATATATATATATATATTTATATATATATATATATATATATATTGTGTGTGTGTGTGTTAAATCATTAATATTTTGATCTCAAAATTAATAGGTGTCTTTTAAGGTCATAAAATATTTCACATAAAATTTCAATAAAAAAGCTGATTCCAGTGGATTTTCTTATTACCTAGCTGGAAAGTTTCTTCAATAATAGGCAAAACTCTTAGGGCAAAAATAATTGAATCGGAAATTTCCTGGTAATATGCATATCTACACACTGTGTCCTAAATATCTGCAAAGTTTGACCTAATTCTGAGCAGCGGTTTAAGAGGAGTTACACTGACAAACTTTTCATCTCTATATTCAAGATATGGCCAAAAATCTACGTTGAAAAGTGCTGAAATTCCCAGAAAAATGATGGAATCGGAATTTCCTGGTAATATGCACATCTACACAATTTGTCCTGAATATCTGCAAAGTTTGACCAAATTCTGTGCAGGTGTTTAAGAGGAGTTGCGCTGACAAACTGTTCATCTCTATATTCAAGATATGGCCAAAAATCTAAGTTGAAAAGTGCTGAAATTCCCAGAAAAAGAATGGAATCGGAATTTCCTGGGAATATGCACATCTACACATTGTGTCCTAAATATCTGCAAAGTTTGACCAAATTCTGTGCAGCGGTTTATAAGGAGTTGCACTGACAATCTGTTCATCTCTATATTCAAGATATGGCCAAAAATCTAAGTTGAAAAGTGCTGAAATTCCCAGAAAAAGAATGGAATAGGAATTTCCTGGGAATATGCAGATCTACGCATTGTGTCCTAAATATGTGCAAAGTTTGACCAAATTCTGCGCAGCGGTTTATGAGGAGTTGCGCTGACAAAAAAAAACAAGACTGACACACTGACTGACTGACGGACGGGTCAAAAACATTATACCCCCCGCAACTTGTTGCGTGGGGTATAATTAAACTTGTGCAAAAACTCTCTCGCTAAATAACTTTCATTTTTATAAATGCTTGAATGTTCATCTATAAATATTCATATTTTCTAGTCAGTGTATATATTCTTGATCACGATGGCATCCATATTTGATTCCCCTCTCTGTCATCTTTTCTTGGTCACCAATTAATTCAACAGTAGGATGGATACTCAGATCTCTCGGGTGTTGGACAAAATGAGTGCTAATAATAAAATTAATCTTTGAAATTATAGATAATAACATTCAAATTATTTATACAGAGAACATGTCACAAAACTCAGTATAGAATGTATATTTATTTTTTGTGGCGAGTATTGGCCGTGGCACAAGAAAATACAAACATTGTGGGATGCCATTTTAACTGGGCAATCCCACCAAATTCAAACTTCATGTGTGTTTCAAAGTCTAACCTTCCCGGTTTACCGCGGAGGGTCAGCACACATACAAACTGTTCAAAAGCAACACACAAACTGTTCAAATTCAAAGTCATATCTCAAACTTCAAATATCAAGCATATCAACTTCATATATCAAATCTTGTACATAATATATCAAATATCTCAAACTTCATAGATCAAACATCTCAAACTTCAAATATCAAACTTTTTCATATTTCGGACTTGTACTATATATTACTATGGTGGCATATTTATGCCATCCACATAATTTTTTGTCAACATAGCATATCATGTCAAGTCAAGATAACTATCTCGCCAAGTCATGATAACTTTCTGGTTTGTCGACAAATACCTACTTTTCATCTTGTCCAGTCAAGATAAGCTATCGTATTTTTGCGATAGCTATTTTATTCATGATGCAAGATAAGTTGTCTCGTCATGTCAAGATAGCTATCGCAACAAATGTGATAGCTTATCTTGACTGGACAAGATATAAAGTTGGTATTTGTCGACAAACCAGAAAGTTATCATAACTTGGCGAGATAGTTATCTTGACTTGACATTATATGCTATGTTGACAAAAAATTATGTGGATGGCATAACTATGCCACCATATATTACAGCTCTAAAGTATATATCACTGTCACCAAGAGTAAGCTTATTAGCTTAGTTTACACTAGCATTAGCATATCAACAAGGTGACAGTTCAGTACAAGTTTCACACAAATATTCAGTTATCAGTTGACTTAGGAGTGCCACGACAATTTCCTTTAAAGTTCAAACTAT